CGGCTTGGCATTTCAACACCTGCAAACAGGCTTGGCTCAAATTCCTTGAGTCTGACACCATGGTTAACACCAAGTGATACCCCCCCCCCCTCTTCATTTTGGAGGGTAGAAACTTTTGAAATGGATTCTATTCATGTTGGATTCAATCCAAGGGAGGTATCTGGTGACTCTTGTGTACACGCCAGGCTTTCCTTCCTTCGCACAGCCATCTCCCCAGCTGACGATCCCGTAGAGCACCATCCTGTCGTTAAACGCGCAAGTGAGGGGACCGCCTGAATCTCCCTGGAAAGTCCAAGCAGGAAGGAAGGTTATCAGCAAGGGTAAGGTAGCGTCATTTCAAAGGGAAAATGGCCTACAGAACGGTGATCTCTGTGTTCACAGCAGTGACCGTTTTCTCCAGTGACGGGAAGAAATAGCAGCAGCTTCAGCCCTAGCATCAAGGAGCCCATCTCTGTCAGAGCCCTGAGTTCCAAGGGAGATAGACCAGACCAGCACAAGAGGACTGTGTTTATTACTGCAGGACTACGCAAGATGATTGAAGTAAAGGTGGGGAATTAATTTTTAATACTCCTTCCAGATGTGCATTTGGAGTAGGTTGAACTACATTTGCACAGGAATTGGCAAACCTTTTGAGACCATGTGGGGAGGCTGCATCAAAAACCATGGCAGAAGGAACTTGCCTTTTCCAAAAATGTTTGTCCAGCTGGGACGCCCAATGATAAAATAATGTATGAGAAGCCAGCTGGCAAGGTTCCTCTAATCCCTTGGATGCCCCCTTGCCTTTTCCCTGGCCATTTGGGCACACTTCTAACAAAGCCCTGTGCTGTGGCCTCCCACCACTTCTATTTTCTAAACAGGCTTATGCCAGTGAGAGACCCCACGGAAAGAAGAATTTATACTCAAGAATGATGCCTGGTTCTGCAGCATGCCAACTTTCTGTCTCATCTTTAAACAAAGAAGAAGTAAACTGGGGTAGGACATATTCCCTGGCAGAAAGTTTCTGCATGCACACTGGTGCCATGGATGGTCTTCACCCAATACGCTCGACTTAAGCCTGGCTTAGCAAAACTCAGCTGCTATGTCCAAACAAGTAAATGCTCCATCCAGACAAACCAACCATATTGTGGCTTCATGTGCTGACTTGGTCTACCCAATGTGCTAAAGCAATAGTTGAGTTCTGACAATATATTGCAACAGTATGTTCCCCCTACCCCAGTTTAGACAAGTTTAGCATGTTACACAGACTCAGCCTATTTTGCGTAGCCCTCTTAGCCAGAGTATTCTGTAGGCATCGAATGTATAAATGTCACATAAACAAACTTACTTTGCATGAGTCAGACCTCCACTGTAAGTCCGAAGCACAGAGCATGTTCTCATTCACCTTGTGACCCTCGTAGTATCTTTCACACATGGACTGGGATATTAAATGTACATTAGCCGATTTCAGTACTCGTGAGTAGTAAATGTCCACTGCAGACAAGACAGACAAAACTGGTGTGGGACAAGGTAGATCTGAACTTTTCTACTTCAGAGATAAAAGCAAGGGTGTGCTGACTCCCACAGGCCCAAACCTTGCTCGTGGCCCACATTCCAGCAAATAAATGATGCCAACCACGCTTGCAAAGTCTATTCTTCACAAATTTGGGGCTTTGCAAGGGGGGCTGCAGGGTATGGTCAAAGCAGTCAAGAGAATGGCCACAACAATCTGATCGACGCCCCACCCATTTTTCAGGCATCACCCATAAAATGGGTAGAGCACCAACCACTCTGCTGTGGCCACCATCTTGACGTTTTTTACCACACTCTGAGGAGATGCCTGAGGGAAGGGAAAAGCCATCCTCTTACTTTTGTTTTGTTTTCCATAGCCAGAAACTTCACACTGGGAATGGTCTCTCAGCATTAAATCTTCAGAGGGCAAACAGATGGTTTTGACAATGTTGGACTCTTCTGCACACTGCCCAGAAGATGACCTAATCCTTATTAAGGCTAAAAGGAGAGAGAGGGGAAAAACTGAATATAGCAAAACTGGGCAAGAAGTTACCTTCAATTATTCATTCATTCTAGTGAAAAACAGCCTAATCTGGGTTTAATGCTATGGAAATAAAATTAACTTTGATTCCCACTGGATACTAGTCACACTGGATTCAAATTAGCTGGATTCATACTTAACAAAAATTACAGTGAAACCAATGGGACTTCTGGTAATCACAGTTAATTTAAATCTCATGGACTTCAGTGGTCCTACTCTAAGTACAAGGAAGTTTAGAACTAAATACACATGCAACAACATTCCTCTCCAATTTATAACCAACTAAACTGTAAAGCCATAGATCCTGCACAATAGATCATGAACCAGAACTAAGAGAGCAGCATCTAGCAGTCAAATTAACTCTGGATGAATCAGTCTCTGTCTAGCACGAGGTCCCCTTAAGTATTATGCTTATCTATCTCTTAATTCTCTACAAATACGCTGTTTCTAGAAAAAAGGAGAGATGGGCTTTCTGATTCTCAAAATGTTTGACTATAATGATATTAATGTTACATTCTCAAAAATATTGCTAGTGAATACACACATCACTCATCCGGAGAAAAGGAAGAGAGATCCTTTGAATTCATACTTTTTCTAAACAGTGATTTGTGCTCACGGCCCCCATATTGTTTTTCAACATGAGAATCAAATCAGAAGGTTTTGTGCCAGGCAGGAGGATAATCCAGGATGGCAATGCAAAAGGTCATTTACCTATGTCATTGTCAAAATCCCCTCTTTGTTGTGAAAACGCCTCGTGAATGATAAGTCTGTCGACATTAAATTCCTGATCATTTGCATTGGTGACATTCGTTGCAGACCTTCCCAGCCTAACTATGAGCTTGGATACATCGAAGCCACTAAATAATAAAAACAGAAAAGGGTAAATCTGTGAGTTCCAGAGAGATTTCCACCAAGCAATTTCATCCTACCATTGACTGCTTGTTTGTCAAACCTTTACACTTTTTATTTGACTCGTTATATTCTTACTAAGGCTTTGCACAGACAAACAAAGGGCTTCATAATATTCGGCTTGAAGAGAAATGGCTTAAGTCATCTGTAGCTGTTCTCATGTTAAAAGTGGACTTTCCCCAACTTTTCCATCTCCATCCAAGGTCGGCCTCAAGGGGATAAAATCTGTTACACTTTCTCATCCTTTAACCTGGAGGACTAGCATTAACTGGGAACAGAGGTATGCAGACAGGATAGGGAGCAGGAATGGAGCCAGGCCAGTTTTCTGCTCACTCAAGCATGGACGGAGAGCACCTGATCTCATTTGTGTTCTGAAACTAAGCAGGGTCCAGCCTGATTAGTTCATGGAGAGGAGACCACAGGAAGCTCTAGGACAGAGATCAAACTGGGGAGTAGGAAAACATCCCAGAAGAAGATAATAACAAATCACTTCCATACAATTGCTAAGAAATTGCCAGAAACTGAACTCAACTTGAAGGAGTCTTCACTTTCGAGTGAATATAGAATTAACAGCATAAACTGCAGCCCCATATCTATTTCCAAGCGAGTAGGTCTCTCTGAATTTAGTAAGGTAATTACTTCTGCATAAGTCTGGGTGATTATTTTATAGAGGTGTCTTCAATCAGATGACCACCCTCCTTTCACTGATGCAGAAGTTGATGCTGTCCAGAGAATTGGAATAACTTAGCATTGAAGAAGAGGCAAAGAATTTGTGGTGGGATACATACTTGCCCGAGAAGCAATGTGCTGCTGTAAGGACCCAACATGGGTCAATGAGGCTGCCACCACAAAAAAACTGATTCCCTCTGGTGTGGAAGATGGTGGCTATCCAAGGTTGAGACTCAATAGGGGCCGTCTGCCCACCCACAATCTTGAAGTTCTTACTTAAGTTCCTCTGGCCACATGTCCGGGCTACGAAACAAAAGAAAACAACAATGTTGCTCAAAGATTTGCTCCAATGACAAATAGGCGGTACGACAGGCAAGCCTTCTGCCATCATCACATTTTTGTTACATTTTTGTCTACCTAATATAAAGTTCTAATATAATGCATTTAGTGCATTATTTCCATGTATATATGCATTTTTCCACAAACTTTTTTGTAACACACTATTTTTCTACTGAATCATGAATTCATAGAATTGTAGAAGCAACCATGATGATCATGTAGTCCAATCCTCTTCACTCTGCAGGAAAACCAATTAAACCATCCTCGGGAGTGGCTTTCCATCTTTTCCTTAAAAAACTCCAGTGGTGGGGAACCCACAACCTTCATTGTTCCACTGTTATACAAACCTTATCAAAATCTAGGTAACTGCAGTTTAAACCCATAATCTCCAGTCCTAGTTCTCTGCTGTGGAAAATAGTTCCTGACTATGCTCCCTATGGCACCCTTTTATTGAATGATCTTTGATATCATGTTTTCCTTAGTTGTTTTTCCTCCAGACTAAATTTCCCAGTTTCTTCAGCCTGCCCTCATGTGGCACATCATCAAGCTCCTACATCTTCTTTTTCACTCTCCTTTGGACTTGTTCTAATCTTGCATATCCTTCTGGAAATATTGTGCCCAGAATTGTACACAATACTCCAGATGTGGTCTCACCAGTACAAAGTAGAAGGGAATAGACTTCACACATCTTTGTTAGAGTGCTGCTTCTAATGCAGCCCAGAACTGAATTAGCCCTTCTGGCAGCTATCTCTCACTGTGGGCTCAGTTTGTTGTCTGTGACCATGCCAAGTCCTTCTCTGATGTAATGCTTCCAAATCACAAATCCCCTATCCTGTATCTATGGTCTCCATTTTTCCTCCCTACATGCAATACCATACAACTTTCCCTAACTGAGGAGCATTTGTTCCCCTCAACCCAGTTTTGACAAAGTTTGAAGAACTGCAGATTTCAAATGATGTGTTTTGATCTTGGTTCAAAAAGGTGAAATATGGTAAGCTTGACTTCAAATGTGAATGTAATGAACATATCTTCAGCCTCCAATTTTGGGTCTCATCATACCTATATAACAACTTACGTTTTTGACATGTGGGTATATCACAAGGTGTCACAGAAGTGCGATATCCCCTCCTAACATAACACCAAGGCTTAGATTGGCCATCTGGATTCCTATAAAACCATAAAACATCTTCATAAGGATTAACACTCAAAAAGACCAAAAATGACCTCTAAGATTCATATTAAAGGTTCCTCACAGCATTAACCCTGCAAAACCTCACATAATTATTTGATAAAAGAATATGACTTCTGAACCTTCTAAAAGAGAACTTTTGGTCGATGAGAAATGGCATGTTGTTGCAGCCAAACGTTATTCTCTTATTTAGCTAATAGGAACAAAATTAGCCTTCTACCTGGCCATCTTAAAAGACTATGTTGAAGATAGAAAAAATGAGATCTTAGAAAGTTTGAGAACAATGTGTTGTCTGTCACTGAAGCTGCAGAATCTGTATCACTGCTTACATTCTTGGAAAATGTCAGAATGTTCTGCAGGTTGTCCCCGGGTTAAGAACACCCGATTTAAGGACGACCCGTAGTTAAGAACAGAGCCTGTTATAGCAAACTTCAACTTAAATACAGAATGATTCAAGTTAACTACACAACGCTTTGAGTTAATTACACAATAATTAACTCAATTATTGAGTATCATACAGTACTTATATAGTATTATAGAATAATACTGTTCCAACTTACATACAAATTCAACTTAAGGACAGACCTTGGGAACGGAAC